AGTAGGAGTAGGATTAGCAGTAGCAGTAGCAGTAGCAGTAGCAGTAGCAGTAGTAGTAGTAGTAGTAGTAGTAGTTTGGGCGGCACTCTCAAGCAGCTACTCCAAGCGAAATCAGGTTTGTGAACAAATCGAAAAGGTAGCTGTAAGGAGTGTATTGCACGTTGGCAGCCTCATTAGAGTACTCCAAAATTGGCGGTCTACAGCTAGTCTGTGAGCTTGTCGATGCGAGTGGGGGAAGGCAAAGGCGGGGGTCTAGAGGACTTAAAATCCAGTGCCATGTAACTTTAGTGCACTGTTCTGTCCAATGGACTCGCCTCCTACCTCGCCTTAAGCCTTAAGCCTGCACCTACCGCACCACCTCTGTACTGAAAAGTGCGTGTAAAGCAGCAGCTCCGTTCTATAATTATTTGTCGGATGGGATCGATGAATGCTCCCAAAAGGTCTCAGCTGTGCTTTGTGGATGTGGTGTGTGAGGGATGGCTGCTCTGTGAGAGCGCGTATCTCCTGGTTTGTATAAGTGCGTGCTGTCGGCTGCAGGACTTGGGTGTAGTAAGTGCTTTTGATGTGAGATAATTTGCTACTTTCGCTACGACTGCTACTGCTACTGTCATTGCCAATGCTATTGCTGTTGTATTCTATTGCGTTTGTTCTTTCTACTGATACTACTCTGATTACTACCACGACTATTTTTCTGCTGTTACGAATACATTATTCTTCCTGCCATTACTATCAGTGATTGGTTTTCACTGCTACAGTGATAACGATTTGTAGCCGCTCCCGCTTCCGCTGCTGCTCTGCTCGTGTTTATGAGCGCAAGGGCTATTCCAAACTGCCAAACACCAAGTCTACTACCACGCTAACACTTTGTGACTTGACGTCTGCGTTGCTTCCACAGCACTGACTACTGCAGCTTGGCTAGTTGCTCACCACTGCTAGTCCAACTGATAATGCTGCTATTCGTTGATACCGCTCTAGCTGTCATGTGCTGCTGGATATTCAATATCCACCGCCGCCGTTCCTGTCTCTAGTGCTGACATGTGCTGACGATGTCAGAAACCCCATTGCTATGTGCAGCGGCCATCATCATACTGACATGTGTTTCCACAAAAACGATCAAGACGATTAGCACGATGAAGAAAGTATAAGGAGCTTAGACTGTTTAGAGTTTAGACTGCCGAGCCCCACACTCCATCCCGAACGGTCGCGACCTGCACAATCCGCTACGAAGGACGTGCATGAATTTGCACAGCGTGCTGCGGCGCTCCAATTTGCATCTGCAGCCACGAACATCAACTGCAGAACGACCGGGCCTGTCTTTGAAGGCGCTAGCAGAGCAGAGCTGCACCTGCTGTCAACGCAGCTGGTTTGGCTGGGATTCTGTCAGCAGTTTTCAGGCCTCCCGCGTCGCCACCGGACCTGCTTTGCCTTTGCTGGAGATTCCAGGTTGAGTAGACGCAAGCACGCATGAAACAGTGCATGGGCTTAACGGGCTGTGCCAGCATTCACTGAGTTCAAAGCTTTTCTTATCTTTCTTGTCCTTCTTCTGCTTCTTGTCCTTCGGCTCTGCCTGCCATTGAGGGCCGGACACTCAAGGACAGAAGCGCTTGGAAACGCGACAGTTCTTCTGCCTCTGGTGGGAAAGCCTGTGGACCAACTATCCTCTTGGGCTCTGCCGGAGCAGCCGGAGCCGGTGCCTGGATTTGGAGGTCCGAGCAGCTCAAGACTTGCATTTTCCGGGATCCCTGCCGGTCTAAGTTCCTCCGACTCCAACTTCTTGTGCTTCTCCTCCAAGCATTCAGGCTTCTCAAGGCAGCCTTCTTTGCAATCGCTATCCGGCATCAGCACGTTGCCGTGTGGGAATCTCACTTTCTGCTGTGACTGAATGACAGCCTTGCGGACACCAAACCGGACTCAGCCACATGGCTAGAGGCGATCCTTTGCTGGATCTTTCTCTTTCTCCGCCTTCTTGTGTTCCTCTGCACGGCGTACGATCGGTATTGCTGCCGACCCGAACATGAATAGATGTGAATACTACGAATCCCCTGCCTTTCGTCTTGCCTTCTCCTCATGCAGTGTTGTTTTGGGGCATGTCTTGGGAATCTGGCAGTGCCGTGGTTGATAACATGCGAACTGAGGGAAAGTCCTCCTCATCATCGCCATGCTTGTGCTTCTCCTTCTTATCCTTCTTGTCTTTGTCCTTTTTCTCTTTGCCGTCTTTCTTCAGTTTGGTTGCTGCACCATCCTGCAGCCAGCAAAGAACAGACAGCAGGCAAAGCAACCCGTGAAAACGATGCACCAGTCACAAGTTGCTGCAGTTGTCCTTGTCTTTCTTCTCCTTCTTGTGCTTCTTGGGCAGAGGATCATCCTGAAAGCAGGCTCAGCTTTGGCCTGTTTGGAGAAAAGCTCCAGACCACAGTAAGCCTGCTCAAGCCTGGTCATGAACAAGTCATACCGCAACAGGAGAGAAGCCCCGCGAGGTCTGGCAACACTGCTGGCCAAAATGATCTGCACATGCAAGTTGCAGGGGTCAGGACATCGTGATCAGCATACTAGTCTCCAGTTGTCAGGGGAAAGCCAAAGAATGCCTCGGCCAAGGCTTGAATGAGAAAGAGAGTGCCGAATGTGCGCGGAGGGCTGCTGCCCTCACATCCCCCTCTCTCCACTCAGGGTGGCAGCACCCCATGGTGTCTCAGGGCACCCTTTGAGTCCACACCCAGCTCCAGCACACTTCCAGAGTCAAACAAGAAGTTAAGATGCCGAGCAAGAAAGGCAGCTGGCCTCGCTGGAGTCATCTCCTTTCCTCTTGCCCATGGCGCTCTTCCAGGCTCAAGTTGTCAAGGTGTGGCTAGTCCACTAGGCTTGCAACTGAATGCATGTTTGTGGGTCGTGGGCAGAGGGGGTGGGCGCGTGTTTCTCCTAGCCATCATGCAGTTTCCCACCTGCAACGACTCGAATCAGGACGGAAGAGCTTGCTGCAACATGTCGGGACCTGTCGAGTGATTGAGGAGTTGACTGAAATTTTGTTTGCAAATCCTTGACAGGTGTATTCGCGGCTGTTGGGCCGGCGCTGAACAGCGGAGCGGTGAACAAGTTCAAATCATGTCAGATGAGCCTCTTATAGGCACCCTTGCTCTCCAAAGCACGGCCTGCCTGACAACTCCAGTGTTGTGCAGAAACCTGGCTGGAGGAGCATGGGCCGTCCAGGAGTAGCAGTGCACTTTGGCCAGGGAACGTGTCTTCCACTTCGCGCTGCAGCTTTGGGCTTCCACCCCAGATGAGGGAGTACCTGTTCCCGGGCCCCGTCTCTGGCTCGCGCCATGCTTTCGCGGAAATCGGTACGGACTTCCAAGCGTCGCACCAACGGCCGTAGAAGATGTGGCCTCGCCGCGGGGCAAGATGAGGCAAGAAGCTTGAGGTGCAATGCGGTGGTCAGGCTCGCACCAACACCCTTCTTGTAGAGCGGCCGAGCAGTATGTCGCCAGCCGAGGTCTAAGATCCTGGAACCAGAAGCAAGGCTCACGGCCCTAAGCAGCACACTTGGGAAAGGCAGAGCCTGAAGAGAGCTCCGTCCCGTTCCACGATGACTCGAGAAGCTTCCCTGGAGATCCAGGCTCGACTCACTCTGTGAGGGGCCTCTGGGGATGGGGCCTCCGAGCTCTGAGCAACAAGAGCAAAGACGTCAGAAGCCAAGCCACTTCATCAGGAGCTTCGTCTCCTTCGCAGCAGACCTTCCATGCACCTCCCAAGGGACTGGCACTGAATCTGTCACATCACCACGGAAGGCTGCCCCGCCAGCACAAGCGTCTCAAAGAAGACCATGTCAGCACATCCAAGGCTTCTCAGGGCAAACGGGGGGAGGTTGCAGCTGCAGCTACGAGTGTGCACGCGGCGGGGGGGAGCTGGAAGACCGAAATCATGCTCACCATTATTGTTTTGGAGGACTGCGAGTTCTGCAGTTCACGGGCCACATGTCCGACTTGAGTACGAACAGCCAGCATAGCGATGTGACTTATCCATGCGAGCCTAACCAGGGACCAACCGAGTTGTGTGGGTTGTCACGACTCTCTGAACTCTGCAAGAGGTGTGGCGTCGTGGACACGACACACGCCACGACTCAGCTGCATGTGTGAGCACGTCCTTTCGCACCGACATTGACCACTGCGGGCTGAGATGCTAAACTTGAGCCTGACATCGTCAAGCTGGTCTCTTATCTGCGGGAAGTCGACCCCGGATCGATGGAGATCTGGCTTTGCTTTGACAGTCGCCTGTTCGACCCCGGAGGATCAGTCCAACATTTCGCCCTGCTTGGCTTAATGACCAGGAGCCCGGGCTTGGAACGCATCTGCATTGAATTTGAAAGGAATGCACATGGGACCTGCAGAGATCAGGACAGACTGTGGCAATGTTAAAGCAAACAAACTAATTCGGTCTGAGTATGACAGACCAAGTCCTCATCTCTGCTCCTACGAGTAAGAGGTTTCTGCGTGTGAATTGCGCCGTGCAAGGCAAAGCTTCATGCAACTTCACGGAAAGCATGCTCTGGATAGAGTGGCATCGTAGCTGCCGCAAACACATCTGGTCTTTGAGGCAGACACACTTCAGATGCCAGAACAGCTCGTGTGCTGAAGGCAGGTGCGGCGCATGACAGAACGCTGGATTGTTAAAAGGCAGGCGTGGTGCTTTTGGCTAGCTAGCACACATCGTCTGTCATCTGATACGACATGGACATGCTTCTACAAGCCGGTCCTATGCAGTGTCATCCGCTTGAAGCGGTTCAAACCGCATAGAAACTGTTGAGAGATCTCTCGCTCATGGTGGCCTGAAGGGGCTCTTGCGGAGAAGCACGCACTGTCTTTCTGAAAGTCCCAAAACACTCTCCCACGCTGCGTGCCCCGCCCAGTCCGGAGGTCGCTCTGAAGAGTGCAAGGAGCCAGAGCGGGCGACACTCTGCCTCGCGCTCGATGCCTCAGCTCTGAAGCTCTGAGTCGCAGATTCCTGATCAAATTCGCACTCCAAGCTTTCCACCCGTGAGGTTGCAGATTCCTTCTCCTGTCGAGCCTCCAAGACGGCTCACACTGCCAACTTTTCTCTGAAACTTCAGAGCATGCCTACCTCATCGGCATCCTCTGAGACCGGATCCTGAAGATCGCCACCCTGCACTCTCCGGCTGCCAGTGGAAGCCACACGTCAACAGTTGCGGAAGACTGGCAATTACAAGTTGGATGCAGTATTGGCAAGGTTGCATGTCGCTCGTCTTTGGCCCTTGCTTACTCACGCAAGGAGATGCCACCGCATGAAGTGTCTGCTTTACGGCCTGCGCGTCGTTCTGTAGTGAGGTTGCGGTAGTCGGCGAGGGTGATGGTTCCCAAACGGTCTGGCGGATGACTCTGGACGGTACAGTACGACCAAGATCTCCTGGAGTTTATCCAAGTTCTTTGACAGGCACAGCTAGCCGCAATGCCTCGGCCTGCGGGCTATCCAGGTCCATAGGAACCCAGTGCGCCTGGAGAGTCGGAAGAACCCCATTTTGAGGGCCTATCCACTGCCTCAAAAGGAGAGTCTCCGGAGTCTCCGGCATGCGGCAGTGGCAAAGAGCTCGATAAGGGAGTTGGCAATGTGGCCTGCTCGTGACTGCAACTCTTGTGCCAGACGAGCGAGCTGAAGGCCCTGGATTCACCCCCGCCTCCATACCGCAGGGCGACAAGGAGGGATGAACGACCTGTCATGCTGCCACGTGCATAGGCGATTCGCAGCCGACCCGCGCTACCAGTCTAACCGCCTGCGATATCTTCACGAGGAGCTTGGACTGCAGGAGGTGCACCCAGCACTGCAATGCCTGGCATCGGTCGTAACTCACTTGATTGAAGTCAGACCATCTTCCTGATGCCCTAGCTGGAACAACGGTGAGCGGGGCCGGAGACATGCTCACACATCCTATATATTATATAAGTCGAATCCGCTTGTGACCACCGTAGGCCCGGCATCATGAGAAGCTGATGAGGTTAGAGACAAGCGACTCAGCTGACTTTCTGCTAGCTGCTAGTATCTGCTAGTAGGGAACCAGCCTGTTTGGTTTTGAACATGAGGTCGATCTGCCGCGGATTGCACTTGGCGTGGAAAGTGCACCGGACCTTGCAACCACCACCCGACCAACTTGCCACAGTGTTGAAAGGCTGGGATTGGTGGCTGCTCTGACCTTCACCGAGACATTCAAGCAACAAGCCTCGCACCACCTCGTCAGTATAGTAGCTCTTCAGAGCCTGCGCGCCGATGTGTTGTTCAGCATTGTTCAGCACATGATTTATCACGTACCCATTACATCCTTCAAGCCCGGGACTAACAGAACAGCCGGCCTCAACATACCCCACCGCACTTAACGTCATGGTCGCAACGAAGAACAGTGCCAGTTCCCGATTCAGAAACACTAGCCCGGTCGAAGAAATGATCAACAAGAAGTGTGTTTTAAAGCTGAGGGAGTCCCTGTTTCACGGGTGTCTCCAGGCTTCATTCGGCCACGCCTGCGCTGGGCGCTCAGCTGCAACTTCCGGGCTGCAGTCACCAGCCTGTCAAGGGCCCAATGTGCTGCCTTCTCGGAAGGAATGCCCGACCACGGGGACAGGGTTGCTCATTCTGACTCGCAGAGTCGCAGAACTCGAAGCTTCGTGCTAGGCGGGTGGACAGCCCTGCATTCCTGTGCAGTAGGTGCCTCGGGTAGGACGGGCTGAACGTAGTGATAGATGCTCACGTCCTTGGCTTCTTGGCTCAGAGTCGGGTCGCGACATACCGACAGAGATGCAAGCATGCCATCCCACAGCCACATATTCCGTTGAACCGACGTGCCAACACAGCGTGTGAGCAACATGCCAGGGTACCTCCCAAGCATAGTGGAAGTTGTGCTTCTCTCGGCTGATCCTCCGGTCCAACCTCCGAACCAGTGTTGCTGGCAGGATTCGGCGACTGTGAACAGTCTGCTCACACCCTCGTTGCTGCGATTCAGAGAATCAGTCCCGGGCAAGCTAAAATTATCACCGCCTTTGTGCACGCACACGAAGTACCTTCGATCCATTCGCAACTTGTGCAACGTGGGCTTGCGATTCGCACGAGCACAGCAACTGCTACGACGAAGAACATTTTGCAGGCCGAGCAGCTCGGAGAATCTGTTGCCGACTTCGCCAACCCGAAGCATGAGGGGCAGCCCATGCTCAACAAGATTCCTGCACTCGGCAGTCAGTATGGCTGGCAGGCGCCTGCCATGCCGTGCACTTCCACTGTACGCCGTCTGACTCAAAGACTCCCACGGCCATCGTCCTGTTCATGGAGAATGACTCGACCTGGTCTTCGGCCAGAAGCTTGAGACTCCCCAGCTCCCTACGTCTACTGCCTTGCCCATGCACGCTGCATTCCGGAAGCCTCCAAGCACTTGGAGTCCAAGGTGTCGCCGATGCTCACACTCTCAGCCTGGCCCCCAGGGCCGACATGGCGCAGGCCGCACATCAACGGGAGACCCCGGCCGACCTGTCTCGTCCAGTCGGGCACCGAATCGAACCAGGAATCCTGTCACAGCTCATGACCCAAGAATCAAGAGAGAAGAGATCAAAGTCTCAAAAACAAGGCGCACCGTGGCTTGTGTCGGCTGCTGGGTCACGCAATTGTCGAGAGTTGACCCAAGCGTGTCGTCGCAGGTTGAGCCACCTGAAGTCAAGACTTCCAAAGCAGCCCACGAGCATCTCCAAGCCCAAGCGTCCCGAGTGCCCCACTCATGCCCGCAGCACATCGCACGCACTGCCTGCTTCAGTGCTCGGACTCCGCACCATGCGAGGATTGTAGCTATCTGGCTATCTGAGTTGCGGTCCCGTCTTCGAGGCAGATCTCCTTGAGCTTCCTCCGCAATGTGCCGGCTAGGAAGACTACTAAAAATTTATCTCGTGTCACAGACTGAAGTGACCTCTCTGACAAGGTCACCGATTTTCGCTGCTGTCAGCGAGCACGGCTTCAGCTTCACTCTCGCAGCGGAGGCAGCTGAGGCCATTTCCAGCCCGCACACTGGCCGCTGGCAGGTGTGAGCAGGGCACTACAAGGTAACGGAGGGCTCAATACCCTGATTCGCTTGCACTTGCATCTGCACAGAGGATCGATCAATTCCCTCCTGTGGAGGCTCAATTCAGCTACTGTACATGCTGCACATGATACGTGCATCAAGCGAAAGACGACACAGTCAGCAGTTGCCATGACGGTTGGTGGTCGGTAGTGGGCTGTGCTCTCCTTGGTCCTTCTTTAAGCTTTGCTGACAGGTCACGTCAATTCGAATTTCGAGCCGGTGCACCGGCTGACAAGCACGAAGCCCACAATTTGGCTCACGAGCGTGGCCTGAGATCACGGCGCTGGAAGGACAAGCTTCAGCTCAAGAATGCTAGCAGATGCGAACAGCCTGACACTAACGTGCTTGTTGACTGTCATCTCTGCATAGGCAGCCCACCTGCAGGGTATAAGGAACTCCTCATCCATGCGGCTGTCAAACCGAACCTGGCGACACCGGGCCCTCCCCCAGCCAGCTCTCAGTATGAAGTGGCTGCCAACATCTTGAAGCATCTTAAAGCTTGCTCATGGCCCCATGAAATCCTTGCTTCTAGAAGCCGCCTAGACTGACCCGAACGTCCAATTCTGCGCAGCTGCAGCCTTGCTACATTCAGTAGTGTCAACACTATCCAGCGATGCGTTTGATGTTCTGTTTCTGTTTCAACTGGCACCACAGAAGGTAAAGCCCCTTTACCCCTTCAGACTTTGCCTTAAAATATATATCAGAACTCTAGTATCCAACGGGTTTGCAATCTGGGGTCGTTGTCGTTGTTTGGAGTGGACATCTCGTGCGAACGAGGTAGTGAAGGGTAGGTTGACCTTCTCCTGTGGGTCTGCTGAAGAAGCTTGGTGGCTCAGAACAAGTCGCCTTCGGAGCCGCGCGTGTCCTGTAGGCAGGCATGGATTTCCATGGAATTCTCGGCAGGCTTAGACACAGTGCCCCTGCTCATTCTCTCTTTCCAAGGGAGCGAAGAACAGCAGCAAGTCCAGCCTCGCCAAGTCTTCTGCTTTCGCTGGAGACGACAGACGTGGCAACGCTGGAAGAGAAGACGTGCGGCTACCTTAGCCGTGGTTTTTCCGATCAAGAAATGCGCACTGACGGCCTCCGACGGTTTTGGAGAGAATCCCTGATGAACTTTGTGACGACACAGTGACAACACCGAGTTGCCAAGGGTGTGCGGCGCCTTCAGCAGACTGCCAACTCTGCGAGAGAAGCCGGGTCGCTGCTGCTGGCGATCAGAGCCCCTGCACAGTGACGTGCTGCAGATTCCGAAAGCAAGGCAAACAGATGGATGCGGGCCGCTGCCTCGTCTCAGGAATGTGTGTTCCTGCAAGCCGCATCTTGGCCGATGGCACCTCCGAAATACGACGTTGTACAAAGCTTGGGACCAGCTCCCACGGAAATCCCTGCTGCCTTTGGAAGGCTTTCAGGCCACTCACACAGCTCCCAGCGTAGGCCGTCCTGGAAGTGGCACACGACGGACATTCCGTATTTTGGGAATATCCACACGGCCTCCGCTACCATCGGCGACAGGCCAGCCGCCATGCGTTTGCCGAAGCTTCCAAGGGCTATGCCCTTTCCTGAAGAGTGGTAGCCTCCATGACAGGGGCACAGCTGCAAACAATTCGCAGTTCCACTGACTCTGAGGCCTTCCACAGGTGGCAGGTTGCTCTCCTGTGGGGATTCATCGCTGGCAGGACTCCTGATTCCTGCCTTGCACTGAAAATCGTTGAAATAGCAGGGAAACGGGCCAAGAAACACCATAAACCAAACACGAGCCCCATTAAAAACAGACGCCTGTGTCGTCCTCTCAAGACCCCTCTACGTGGAGCTACTCTATAATGCAACCGTGAAGTTCTTGCGTCTCTGCTCACCACTCCTGACCACAAGCACAAATGTCATTACATAGATATGCGCACAGTGCCTACGTAGCGCAGGTAGCCGCAGAAATGAACGTAAATCGAGAAATCATCAATGCAGCAAGCAGTCTCGGAAACGAAATCAGTTCCATGCGGGCGTCTAAAGCAACTCCTTGGCGGTGGCATTCAACTCCGCGTGGCTTGGCATGGCTGGCACAAATCTGGACGGACTTCGACGAAGACTAGGAGGCGAAGGAGAATTCTGAGGCCCTTCATGCCGCTCCATGTTGCAATGACAAGGAACTGCCATGCCAGCGGCATGCAGTTGTAGCAATTTCCCTGAGGCTGAGATTTGAGAACTGTGAAGCGGGCAACGATCTGAGAGCGAGATGCTGCATCCGACAGGTAGCTGCAAGGCCTTCGCATCTCGCAGTTGCTGGCCTCACCTGGAATCGCTGACGGTCTGGCTTCTACACGACCTTTTGCATCTCTGCAGACTACAACCACATCGTCTTAGGGCACGAATCTCGCGCCTCTGCACTCTTTTGACCACTCATTTCGCGGTCGCAGACAACGCACTGTGGGCACAGCCAGTCAGATTGACGGCAATCACGTGGTACAAGTACAAAAGATTGAGTGTAGCTGGCACGTGCTGAGTTCACACAGCCAGTGCTCCTACGAGTGTGATACGTTACACGCAACTTTGGCGATAGGCTCCACACTCCATGCATCGAACCTCGTCAGTCGACGAAAGCTCGGAGAGCAGAGCTTTCCTTGGTCCTTCTGGCATACTCCGACTCAAGACCACTCCTCATCTGTGTCGTCGCGATCTGGAATTATCATGGCATCTTTGTCCATGAAACCTCAGCCAATCTTCCGCAACTCCAACTCCACTATTGCAGGAAGCCCTGATTGCAGGAAGACCTTCCCATCCTGTGTGCACTTCCTTCCCCTCATTCTGATACTGGGTACTTACAGCAATCTGTTTCAAGACACGCGCGACGGAGTTCAACATGTCAACCTGCACTGCCTTCCAAGGGCGCATGCACAAAGACTCGTCCGTCGTTTCGGTCTTCGCTCGCTTCTCTCCCTTCGCTGTCCGCTCTCCATCGGAGCCTTGAGATGCTCGAGGCCCTGCTCATGGAGCTGTAGCAGCTCGAAGTGGCAGCGCCCCACGTCAGGAGTGCGTCTGCGCAAGCGGTCGATGGTATTCACCTGAGAGGAGCCATCTCTAGGAACCTTTCCATTCCGCTTTGCGAGTGCCAAGTGATGGCAAGGGGCAGTTGTGTGTCCTCAGCGAAATCAGTACATCTCGAGTGTGCTGGAGTCAGATGGAAAGATTATGCTGCTATGGACCTGGATGCAGTCGCGTACTGCCGAATAGATGGGCCAAGTCTCTTCGCCACTGGTGGAGGACGTTGCGGCACACAGCAAAAAGATTCCCAAGGCTACTGGCAGCCATACCTTTTTCCACATACCTGAGTGTTCGGTGGACTGCTAAAAGCTTGTGCACTGCGTCGCCGTTGTCACAGTCGAGCTGCTTGATGAGGGTCTGTCTGCTCTCAGACAAAGCTGCCTTCACAAAGCATCATCACTGCAAGTTCTCGCAGGACCAGACCGACATCAAAGAAGAGCCTGCAACTCTGGGACTTTCTTCAGTTCCTCTCTGGCTTCCTGCACTCTGTAGACTTGGGGAGGAGGGACTGGGACGAAAGCTAGGCAGAGCAACAGAACAGGCCTGCAAACCTAGAGGTTCAGCACAACGGCCGCTAGCAACGCATCCTACCTGCAGTCCTAACCCAAGCCAGCAAAAGCGATCATGAGCGTCATCGGGACCCATATGGGAGCCGACAGGCAAGCATCATGAGCGTCATCGGGGGCTCATTTCTACATTCTGGAGCGGTCTGACACACCACTTTCAAACACCCGAAAAAGGACCCGGTGGTCGCACAGCCAAATCCTGGCGCGGAAACCGGTCCACCTCCAGAAGGGGGGCCTTTCCCCACCCACACCCCTTGTTGCCACCTTCGGTTGATAAGAAACTCAGCTAGCCCGGAGGCTAGCTTTCGTGACTCTAAGCAGCACTGAAAGGTAGCACACTCGAAATACGGGAAACAGCTAGATTCTCCTCGAGCTCTCGCTCCACCGCTTCACGTCGCCGCACCTTCAGATTTGTGCAGGGCTTGCTGTGCCTCCCTCTGCCACCCTTGAAATTGAACAACGAAGCCTCTTGCAGCAGCTTCTCCTGGCAAATGTCGCTACTGCATCTAGTCCATGCATCTGCATATGCAAACACACCGCGGAAGCTCAGGGCTACAGCGCCTGCAGCTCGTCGATCTTAGCCATGTGTTCCTGCTCGTACGGTAGTAGAGTCGTGGGCTGCCATGGAGTTTAATCCACTTGCTGCAGACATGGCCTTCGCGTGCCGCCGGCGCACGTCCCTCTCCTCACCCGCCGGGGCCAGAACAAGGCTTATGACGAGCAGTGTCGAGCATTCGTGAAAGTCAAGAGGCGATCCACGCCGCATACGGAGTGCCAACCCAAAGTTCTGCGGTTTCGCCAGGAACATCAGAATTGAAATCCTGAACGTTCAATCTGTCTTCTCTGCGCTGCACGCATGTCGCTGCCAGATGCCAGAGAGCACTGCAGGTACATGTCCCAAGGCTCCACATGGTACTTCAAAACATTCTGCGACGATTTTTTCGTAGGATCTGCATGGTCTCGCGGAGGAAACTCTCCTGGAAAGGTGTACCGACCGCGAAAGTCGTTTCAGAGGAGCCGGCTGGACTCGGCAACTGAGCCCTTTGCCGAGACTATCTGGACTCACCACCGAGTTGTCCTCAGTGGCACCACAGAATCAAGGGACATTTCATGGTATACTAGGTATACCAGAAGCAGGGCTGAGAAAGCGGGCTGGAATCGCAGTGCATCCGAGCCGCCCGGAGGTGTGCTTCTCGTGTGCAGCTTCCCCCGCTGCCCAGCACGGCCATGCCACGGGACACCAGGCTGCGTCTCTGCATCCTGTGAACTTCAACCGTCAGCCTATGTCTCCGGTCGCTTACCCCATCCTTCCCAAATGGCTGCAAGGCCGTCTCCTAGGTCATATGTCCTTTATTTCACTGCTCGACCAGGCAAGTTACGACCAAGGCCAGCAGCAAGCCGAACGAGGCCCGGGCAGTAGCATTCGCTCCCCAACGAAAGTTGTCCAAAGCTGCTCCTTGGAAAACACAAGCGGCCGGTCACTCTAACGAATCCAGCATCGCACAACTCCCGTTCTGTCGCCTTTTTAAACGCGGCACCAGTTTGCATGATCGACATCTTTCTACGAGCCTATCTTTGTCTCGCAAATCGAGCCAGGAAGCGCCGCACCTCTTGTGCAGCACTTGTGTCAGACAGCTTTGGCAAACGATGCCTCTGATCATGCCGAAGTACACATGCTTGGGAGTAGAGGCGGGTAGTGCTCTCAAAACGCGAAGATGAGTACCACCCATCCGTGGCATAGTCCCCTATGAACAAGCACGGCATATCCACTGTGCCCTGTGGGCCCAGGTAGGGTGCAGGGAAGTCGCGTGGCAAAAACATGCCACCTACAGACTCAAAGTGGCCCGGATTCACGGCGCCACTGAAGCTCACCACGAAACGCGGCATGAACGCCCCAAGAAATCGAGGATCACCCCGGTGATGCAGCAAAGCGATCGAGTGCACCTGAGGCAGTTGCCGCGAAGACTGGGCTCTTGTCGAGATCCAGTGGTCTTCACTCAAGCTTCACTGTGTTACAAAGCCCCGGGAAGTCGGCTGTGCCGCTTGGGTTCCGAGTGGATTCTTTCGGACGATGTATTAATAATTAATATGCCAGGCTTCTACAGTGAGCAGGAGAATGATTCGTTTCAGGTCAGAGGTTTAAATCCGAGCATTGAAGCGAAAACGAGACACCATCTCCGCACCCTGCGAAAATCCCAGGACGCCATCATAGGCAGGGCATGCGCCCTCAAGCTCTTCTGCGATCTTTGTGAGCGACTTCTCCATTTCGGCCCAGTCTACCGGTCGGTCGCCGCTGCCACCCTCATCGTACCTCCACCACATGTGTCTTTCACGCCGTTCCGGATATGGTGCGGCAATGCATCGGCACTCAATGGCCAAGCTTGGCTCTTGCATGTGGCTGGCCAGTATGCTTTGCAAGAACTCTTCTATCGATTCACAGAACTGGCGGTGTCTGCCGCCGTGCCCATGCAGCGCTAGCAGCCTCAATTGCTTAGTTTCGGAAGCCTGTCTGGGCGAGGAGACGTTGATGACCACCATCGCAAGGAGCTTTCCAGATCTAAGGAAGTCTCTGACGACGGCTTAAGCCCATTGCTGGAATGTGCACCCCAAAGCAAAACAGCACTCGAACCCACAGCCGGGCGCGTGTCCATGTGGAGGTATCCAAACTCGAAGGCTCAACTGGCTTGGGAGCCACCTGTTCAAGCTTTCGACAAAACGACTGAGCCCACTTCCCTCCCAGATTCTAGGTTCCGCCTTGTCAGTGCCAGGGCTTGCGAAGCTCGAGCTCGCACCCATGTGGTCTTGCACAAGGCAAAAGCGACTGGCAGGCACTGCAACCTGGCTGCCCACCTCTTTAGTGTGGAGAAGGCCTTGCCACTTAACCGGTCAAGGGGTCATGCCATCCAGTCTGAGCCAAAGCTGCGCCCTTGAGGTCTACAACAATTGGAACAACAGCAAAGCTCCGGTCCGTTGGCATCCATCCTTTCTCATGCTCAGAAAGACCTCACGCAACTTTTGTTTTTGAACAGATGAACTGCACCAGCGCTGGCCCACCGGCTCAGCACGGGAGTGACATTTGCAAGTTCGGCTCAGTCACCACCTCATCCCAGCTCTGCTGCCAACTGTATGCAAGATCTTGACGGGTTATGCGATGGCTGATGTTCGAACACCTGCTTTGCTGCAGCCTTGTGCTGCGAGCAGCAGATGCCCACGGTGCCTCACGCCGCAGCGCAACAGTCCGTTGCTGTTGCACCGCCGCCTGGGTCAATGCTTCCTTTGAGGCTCATCCTCAGCAGCCTTGACGACCACTGAAAAGATGGCCCCGTCTATCACGCTAAATCAGGCTAAATCAAGCAATTTCAGACAACTCCTCCCATGACTTGGAGTGTAGGGAATGAGATCGGATACATGCTGGCTCAGCAGGACAGCATCGAGAGGAGTCGACCCCACAGACGTGCGAGCGCGTCACACCAACATGGAGCTGCCCAGGAGCTTTGTCGGATTCTGCGGCCAGGAGCAGGGACAGAGACTGAAAGGAGAAAGGATGAGCGCGAGTCAAGTTATCCAGGCTCAAGTGTGTTTCAGCAATTGCATAAATTTACGTGCCGAGCCCTGTTTTGCTCAAGGGCCCTGAGGAATCAAGGGGATAAAGATTAGGAAGATTTTTACCGTATGATTCTGTGCAGAAGGTATAGAACATGGCCTTTCTCCAAGACGTGCGGTAGGTATCTTGGCGTCCTGCATGATTGTCCATCCTCGCGGACATGCTTCTTTTGAACTATGTACAAAAAGCAGACACAGACTCCGGAAAAGTTGGCCGAGCAGCTTCTGATAGCCATCGATGTACTTCTTGCCATGCACAGCCTTCGCTTCTCTCGGTTGTGCACCACAGGCAAAGCAAGCGTGTGCTTCACAAGTCAAGGCCTCTGTGGTTTCCCAAGTACCGGCCCCGATGAAATGGTCCTGCAACGTTTGGAGGAAACGAATCCCTTGGACGGCGCTCTCAAGCAGGCGCACCCGCGGCTTGTTGGCGTGCCGGCGGCCGCCGAGCGATGGCTCGTCCTTACCCCGTGTGAAACTAAGTTTTGGCGGTAGAGGCCGGAGGCTGGGCGCGAGGCTTCATTGGTGCCTTGGGACAGAGAGGTTGCAGAATGCGGGGCAAAGACCACCGGCTTGGACTCTCAGACCCTCGCAGCCGAAATGTGCCATGTGATCTTCACTGATGTGGTTCGCTGGCCTCGTCACGTTGTTCGAAGTCGCACCTGCTGAAGACTGCTCTGGAGGTGCCTGTTCACCGGCGCTGGCCCAGCGGCTCCACCCGCCATCAAGGCTCTTTCGCGAGCCTTGGAGTTTCGATGCTCTTGGAACTCGTTCTTTGCCTGGGACCCAGCAATCGAAGGACTGCCTCGTTCTCCCTCTTCTGCTCCATGAGGTTGTCGACTGTCGGAATATACCTGTGCAGCGGCGCGGCCCTCTTGTCTGTACATGAGGAACTGGAACGCCCCGTGCATGTCTGCTAAAGATCGTTTGGTTTCCCGCAGAAGACCGTCGCTGCCTGCGTCCTTCAGGTGTGGGCCGCAGAGAAGCAATGCCCTGTGGCTCGGCAGCAGAGACACCGTGCGTCACCTGACAAAACCGATCCGGAGAAGCTCTGACCTCCCTGCACTGCTGCGCTCCTCTCGTGCTTTTTCTTCGCCCCTCAACTCTCCATATCTCTCCGAGAATCTCCGAGATCTCTGCCATGTTCTGCTTGGGAAAGAGGTGCCTCGGGCGCGCGCAAAGACCGGCACTGCGCCGTGATGGCTAGTGCCGACCCTGCCCCGGCCTTTTTCCCTCGCCTCCCGCACGGCCCGTCTGAATGCCGAGCCTTGGATCCTGCAGTTCGCTTGAGAAGAGGATCCGACAAGGTCGGCAAGGCATCCAGTTTACCCCTATCTCTCCCTAGAGAAACTGACTACCCCTCTTCCTGAGACAAAAACGAGAAAAGAACAGACCGTGCAAGTGCTTGCAACTGTGTCGCCTCCTTGAAATCGTTCTGCTGCATCTTGAGGTCCTTGTAGTTGTCCCGACAGGCATTCACTTCCTCGGCCACGGACCTCCACATTAGACTTCATCCGAGGACATTGAAGGCGATTATCATGATGATGATGTGCTGCCGCAAGCGGCCTGCTTGTTGGCAGGTCCCCCGCTACTTTCTGTCTCTGTTCCATCTCCTCGTCAGGGCAACCATTGCAAATGCAACTAGGACTGATTGAAGATCGCATTCTCGACAGCACAACACCCATGTCCAGCTACGAACACTTGTGGGAAGCAAGGGCCTTCGTCTCTTGTGCGAAAGAGCGTGGCACGAAATGCCCCGTGCCATAGCCTTGACAATGCAGTGGGCATGACACCAGTAGCAGATGATCATGCTGATCACCAGCTCAGACGGAAAAGTCAACTTTGTAACCACAAGACGTCAGTCATGCGTTGGCTACGCCATTCGTCGGCATGTGACATCATGTGACCTCTACATGTTGACTGCAACCAAGACAGCGCAGCTCGCCTCCGGATCGGCCCTGCTCTGGCTTCTCGTTGGTCAGTTGCTCCTGCAATTCTCACAATCTCAGGACCTAAATGGGCGCCTAAACAGAAACCCGAAGGTGGCGTAGTCCCCTCTCAAGCAAGTCCAATAAAGTTAGGTTATACCACCCAACAGTTCATGTTTCGATGCGTTTGGAGCCCTTAGTATAGTTCTGCGAATGCTCGAAGCTTTCAGCAAAACTCCTGCATCTGCAGTATCCAGCGGGTGAGGTCATCGCATCGACCAGACGGCAGAGATGGGCATGCAGCCTCGAACATGCCAGCACGGCAGAAGTACGGAGCAGGACGCTTCAGTGCTTAAGGCACTCATCGGCTGCTTCAGCGATCGTTGTTCATCACTTGCTTGCATCGTGTCGTCATCTCCTTAACATGTGCCTTGAACGAATGCCCAGAAGTACAGGGGTGAAACACAAATTGAGCTAGTCGCATGAGCCCTTGTGGGCGGCGCATTGCTCGTGGCTTATCACATCCGTTCCGGATGAGACTCACCTCCCTGTCAAAGCATTCCAGCACCTTGGCTATGGCTTAGCCTCCGCACTGACTCAAACACCATCGTGCCAGCCATCCAGGATTGCACGGGTTTAGCCCATTCTGCTCGTCCAGTCTGTTGTGCCATACATGTATCGGCAGAAGGGGGTGATTTTGCTGTCTGGACCACTGATCTCCAGCCTTGGAAACTCCCCCACTGATTTGGAGAACTTATTTGACAAACCAAATCGAGGTGGCCTCATCTCCGTTGGATACCTGGAGCCGTAGACGGAGTTGCTGGTTGTGTAGATACAGGCGCCCCCTGCTCGCTGAAAAGTCGCGCTAGGCCCCACGATGTTTGGGGTGGAGAAACATCGGGGATGTGATAGCTGCTCCTCCTCCATGACACCCATGGAATTCAGCAAGATCTGCAGACCGCTGCTGGCTGGCTTGGCCGAATGCGGCTGTCGGAGAGTGTAACAGCATGACATGCGCGTAGCTCGACATCCCACCGGACATGTTGACGAAACATCAAAGCCGCCTCTCCGATCGCATCTCGAATCGCCTCGTCGCACACATTGCTCAAGAGATGAATACCGGCACGTGTCGACCATTTTTGAATTTCAATTGAGAGAACAGCATCTAAGTTTCAAACTTTAGATAACTTTAGACTACCCCACTAAGCAGCGGGCCAGTGCTCGCTTCCGCAAAGCAGATTGATTCAGCGTCTGCACCCAAGCATGCGGTGATGCAAAGCAGCAGGACAAGTGCGCCGAGTTTCCTCGCCTCCAGCTGTGAGAAAGTCCAAAGCTGCAAGACCTGCGAAGCAAAGGCGACGGAGAACCTGGCTCCACATCCTGCGGCATCTAGCCTTGCCGTTGATGCTGACCTGCCAAGCATTCTGAAGACTGTATGCTTTAAGAAGAGACTTCGCACCTCGCCGGTCGCAGCAGGCGAAGCATGCGTGTAGGTGGGGAAGAGCCTTAGTTGGGATCTTCCGGCAAAAGGCCGAACTCCGACTCACCGAGCACCCGGCTTTCGCGCGTCACCATCTTGCCGGCCCAGAATCTCACCTGCGAAGCCAGGGCTGCCCAGCTGCCCGCGCCAAAGCACTCCTTCTTGGAAGTCCCTGGGCACCTTCTACTTGTCGCTCTCTGCCAGCGAGGAACAACTCCGAATCGACCACCTTCGCGAAAACACGAACGGCCCCACGAGCCGGACTCAGCACGAATGCTCCTGCCGCCCTGCCTTGTCCGCCATTGACATCCCCAACATGGCTGGACGTCGTTTCGGTTTGCTGGCCAGCTGTGAGTGTCCGACTGCTATTTCTAGAGCATCTTTCACGCTGGGGCCCAAGTCTGCTTGTTCGACTGAGCCATCAACGCGTCGAATGACCAGGCGCTGCCTGGGAGCCCTACGCCGCTGCTCCTCCTCCCCAGATGCATCACTGCACGCACCATTTCGGGTATTCCTGCCACAGACCTGCGAAACGACGAATGGACGAACCGCTGCTGAAAGATGCGCTGTAGCATGAAATGCATCTTCATAAACCATGAACATGCATGAACCTTGGTCGAGGAGATGTGATACTAGGTTCCCTGTATTCAATTATGAACCCTCACCCTAGACAACCGACAGACTCTTCTGCGAGCTACACTAGATTGCTACGATTGCTTATCTCAGAGCAAGGCCTCAACTCTTGTGCAGCCCGCTCCTCTAGCAGAGAGACATGAGTGCCTTTGGCACGGGATGTCTTACTTTACAGCTGGGGGCTTCCCAGCTCTTGGCAAAGCCGTATCCGCAGCGCTGAGAGGTCACTCCGGTCGCACCTCCCCTGGGCAAGGAAACTCTACCGGTGCATTCGTCGCGCAGTCATATTCCGATGCGGCGAAGCCATCAGTGACCCCAGGCAATCTGAGAGCCAGACATGTGGACCGACCTTGTCGAACACTGTTGATGAAGTAGAACTGGCAAACGTTCTCATTCCACCATGGGTCCGAACATGTCAGAACAGTTGCAGCAGCACAGCTATCTCGCAAACAGGCCGGCAACACAGGCGCAAAGAGGAAGCATGCGACACCCACCACCAGGTACGCCACACCCAAGAACGGGTTCCTGCTCTGCTTCATCGGGGCTGACAGGAGAGAGAGGCAGAGAGAGCGAGAAAGAAAGAGAGAGCGAGAGAGTGTGTATGCGCATGTCTGGTGTGCATGCCTGCTTGCGCCTGTGCATGCGTGGGTGCATGGTGTCTATTTCCTGGCACGCCTCCCGCCGACCACCGAGCTGGTGGTGACAATGATGGCCTGAAAAAACTCAGTCCGTCCAGCATGAAGCTACTACGATACCTGCTGGCATCTGCCACGTCTCTGATGTCCCTGCCTTCCGGCCGTAATACTCCCGGACAGGGAATCTGTGCACGACATAGACTTTCAGCCTGGAGCACATCACGAGAACTGCCACACCCGACCACGACCACAACGACGACAACATAACCCCACGATGCCTGCTACAACTATCGCAACTTGGAAAGTCATCAAGGTTCTGGAAACAATACGAACGACGAAGGACGGGCGAGCCTGGTGCCGGCCTTGATGTCCCGATCCACCTCGAGGCACACGTTTTTTCTCAACATGTCGTTATGTGATGTTAATACATATAGTGCACACATATCACAAGCCTGCCATAGAGCGAACGTTCTACACACACACACACACACCCACACACGCGCGCGCGCGCGCGCCCG